CGTAGCACACGAGCCCACGTGGTGCTGTACGTCGGTCAATAGCTCCGGCCAGTAGTAATACCGCTTCAGTCGCTGTCGCGTTTTTTCTACCCCGAAATGTCCCGAGGTAATCCCGTCATGTGCCTCCTACAGTAACAGTTCCCTCAGTAGTGAGTACGCGGGTACCCAGATGCGGTTGGTGCCTGTGTTTACATAATAGACTCCTTTTGCTTCTGCTAGTTGCTGTGAATTTCCGGCCGTGAAAAATGGGTCGGTACTGTACCCGTGGGTGAATAGGCCTGTTAGTAGTGGGTTGGTTTGGGCGAGTAGGATGGCGTAGAGTTGGGCGGTGGGGCGTGTGAGTGCGTCGGCGATGTTGGATGCACCTTTTTTGTACGTGACCGTGTAGTGGAAGTTGGACTCCAAATAGTCCAACCAACGGATCTGTTGCGGGTTGAGATTTGGTTGGGCGCGAAGGTACTGTAGGGATCGGTGGTCTGTCCGTACTATCATGTCTGCTCCTGTGAGGTAACATCGCCACACCTTGAACGCGTGCACGATCGCCAGCATCTCGCGGTCGTGTATCGGGTAGTTGCGTTCGGGTGGGTGAAGCTTGCGGGACTCGTACGCGATTGGCTGGAGGCCGTTCCCGAAGTCCTGCAACAGTACTGCTCCCACAGCGATGTCGCTAGCGTCGGTGACGAGCTCGAACGGACGGTGCGGATCTGCGATGTGAAGCACGGGCGGCGAGCACAAAAATTGTTTGAGGGCCGAGAAGGCAACTTGCTCTTTCTCCCCCCACGTGAACTCAACCCCCTTCCTCAGCAGGTCGGTCAACGAGGCAGTCAACTTCGCTATTTTGGGGACGAACCAGCGCACGTAGTTGACGAACCCAAAAAAACTTTGCAACTCGGTCAAATTTGTCGGCGCGTGCCACACTTGAATCGTCGCGATCTTTTTCGGGTCTATTTCCACTCCGTACGCTGAAATGATGTGTCCCAAAAACTCCAGTCGGTCCTGTAAAAACTCACACTTAGAAGCTTTGGTCAGTAGGCGGTTCTCGCTCAGTATTTTAAAAAACTGCTTCTATGTCCTGTAAGTGCTGTGCTCTGTCGGAGCTGTAAATCAGTATATCGCCGAGGTACACGATGACGCACTTATCTAAAAGCGGGCGGAAGGCTTCATTCATTGTCATTTGAAAGGTGGCGGGGGCGTTGGTCAGTCCGAAGAGCATGACTATATATTCGAAGGACCCGTAGCGTGTTCGGAAAGCTGTCTTGGGGCAGTCGGTTGGATTGACGCGAATCTGTTGGTAACCCCCTCTAAGGTTGATTTTCGAGAAAACCCGGGATGTGCGCAGTTGGTCGATCAGTTCGTCGGCTCGCGGGATGGGGTAACGGGATTTGATGGTAACCCTATTCAGTGCCCTGTAGTCTATGCACATGTGAAAACCCCCGTCCTTCTTCGGCGTGAACACTATCGGTGCTGCGAAGGGTGACGAACTCTGGCGAGTGAATTCTTTTTCGAGCAGGTAGTCTAGCTGCTTCCTCAGTTCGTCCAGTTCGGATTGCGTCAGTCGGAACTGTCGATGTACTGTCGGCTGTGCCCCCGGTTCTAATTCTATCCTGTGGTCGTGCGGTCGCTGAGGTGGCAGTCCCGTCGGCAGGTCGTCCGGAGATATTTCACTGTACTGCTTCAAGAGTGCTGCCAGGTCATCCGGTACGTTGACTAGCAGTTTCTGTAAATCCCCCCCTTTGTATGCTGCCTCGGCTTCCCGAATGTCAACCGCATACACGTCAACTCCTGCCGCTACGGCGCGTTTCATCGTGATCGCGTTCACACGCACCGACGAAGACTCAGGCGAGCCCCAGCGAGGTAAGGCGATGTTGTTACCGTTCACTCGCACGGTGCAGTCACCCATCGTCCAGTCGATTCACGTATAGTGTCGTCGTAGCCAATCACGACCGAGTAAAATGTCGGTTCCGTCAAGGGTTGTCGCGAGCATTTCTTGGCTAAACGTGAAATTACCCCCGCATCGAATCCGAACCCGGTCTACGCGTTCTCGTATCGCTAGTGGCGTGCCGTCAACCAGTCTTGCATCGATCTCAGGTAAGCATCTGTCCAGTGGCAATTTCAGTTTCCGTGCTGTGGCAGTGTTAATGAGGCTGTGGCTGGCTCCCCCTTCTACGAAGATTTTAACTAAGTCTGTCCCGATTTTCCCACTAAGCAGTATGGGGCTGTCTACCGTAGTACCCTCCTTATTCGGCCGGGTGTGGTCGATTGCGTGAACCGGCACAATCACTCGGTGAGGGTCGGTTGGGTCGGGCGAGCGGCGTGACCTGTCAGTAGAGGGCCCGGCTGCTACTGACTCCCAGCGTTTCCCTGCTGCTTGGTCTGTTTCTGTTGCTCAGCTTCCCCCTTTCCCTTAGCGTTTTCCGGGCATTCACTCTTACGGTGTCCCGGCTGATTGCACGCGAAGCAGCGCCCTTTGAACGGTGCGGCAGCGGCATTCGCGGCGACGGCACGTATCGTAGCGCCCTCGTTCGTCCCACGAGACTGATGTCCCCAGTTACTGCTTCTGTAGGACCCCGGTCTCGGTCGGCGGAAGAAATCGAGTTTCTCCGCCATAGCGAGAATTTCTTGAAAATCGGTGACGCCGCGAAGCTGGATTTCCTGAGCGATGCCGTGCTTCAGGCCGCCGATGTAGCGGTCGATGCGCTCGCCCTCGTGCATATAACCCACTTGCTCGCATAGCGCCAAAAACCCGCTGGTGTAGTCCTGGACGGAACCGAGTTGGCGCCAAGTGCGGAGCTTCTGTCGCGCCGCGATCGAAGCCGCAATTGGCTCAAATCGAGGGCGCAGACCTGCGCACCACGCGTCCCACGTGCGATATTGGGGCACCTCCACGAAATACGACGGCGCCCAGGGTCCGGTTTGTCCTTCCCGTGTTGGTAGAGTCGCGTAGTCATTCGGCTTCATGACGATGACGCGCCACCAGTCCATGGCGGGTCCTCGCAGCAGCGACACGGCGTAGCGGATTTTTGCCGTATCCTCCGAGACGTAGTTGGCGTCGAAGAAGACATTCATCGTGAACAGCCGCGCCTGAACGGTAGGACCACCCCGTTGACTCAGGTCAAAGCATGGCGGACGCTGCGGCTTCAGCGGCTTCAGCGGCATCGGTGACGGCAGTGCTGAATCGTTGATCAGTACCGAAATCGTGACGCGCGGTTGGCTTTGGGTCCGACCTGTCGTCGCTTCGGGGTGTGTCGTGCCGTGGTCGTCGTCTCCGTCGTGGCGGATGACGCCATCACTGGCCGCGCTCGCGGGTTGCCCCACACTTCCGTGTTGCGACGCTTGTGGGTGCGGGCTGTACCGGAGTGCCAGGTGCTTGCGACTGTGCTTGCTGTGCTCGTGCGACGTCATTTTGTAGGGACGTGCGTTCTGCCGTCAGCGCCGCGATTTCTTCAGAGCTTTCGCGAAGTTGCTGCAGCAGTTCGTTCAGACGCTCATGCGTGAGGGTGGTGACGTCGATGTGCTTGGCCATTGCGGCTTAGTCTAGGCACAGTCGTGGCTACACGCGTTTACGAGAGAACGCGAAGACAGCGGCTCCTAGGGGCTAAGGTGCGTGAGTCCCTTCGAGTGAAAAATCAAAAGTTGATTTCCTGGGGTGCGGAGATGCGCGGTCCGAAAAGAAAAAGGCTCTGAATACCAAGTGTTACGGGTGCAATGAATCGAGGTAGCGAGGATTGCACTAAGTGTCAAACGAGTACAAAATGTGAGCGAAGGGATGAGCGAACATTTATACGCGAAACATGCAAACGGTAACGCGGTGCGTGCGAGCTAGCTAGTGCTACGCTGGCAGTGAGGTTCGGGCCAGTCCCGAAGTGTAGGCCGACACGGTCGGGCCAGCAGTGCGAGGTTTGGTGAAACAGTGCGCGCGAAGTCGGCGAAGCCCCGTTAGCAGTAACGGGCGAAACAACGGCTGCTGCTGTACGCGATATTGCGGGATGCGCTAAGGAATGTCGAGAAAATTCCTTACATATATCATGAACTCCTTGTCTTCATCCTAGGTAACTCCAAATACCATTAAGGAATCTCTCTGTTCCACAGTCCACCAAGAACACACGATGCCCTTATCCGCGTTTTTGGTTGGGTCGGTACCTTGGGCTTTGCGTCCTCTGCTGCTTGTGGGGGAGAGAAGCCAACAAACAATAAGAGGAGCTCGCAGCTCCTTGATGCTCCCTTTGCCTCGCAGGACTGCTGCAGGCTTCTGTTCTGTCCGGCAAGGTTGTAGTAACTAATTAGCTCAGGCCGTCGCGGGAGCTTCTGGTGTTCGTATCTTAAGTCGCGGGTAGCTTGTATACTTAAAAATCAGTAAGAATTTTAGTGCTGCCAATACTGTAGATACGGCATGGCGGATCGGTTGACGCGTATTGCGATCGTGAGCGGCGATCGCTGCAAGCCTAAGAAGTGTCGGCAGGAGTGCAAGAAGAGTTGTCCAGTCGTCAAGACTGGTACCGTCGTCGCCATCCCACCCACCTTCTCTCTTTCTATCGTTATTTCTCCTCTCCGCCTTCTCGTTAGATTCCACGAATCCGATCACTCTGTTCCTCGGGTGGCCGTTTGAGCCTCCTCAAAGTCTTCCCACGTTCTCTCGTTTTTCGCCTCCTAGTTACATTTACGAGTCTGATCATGGTTTCTCTCGGGTGCTGCAACGCTCCCTCCTCTTCCGACCTGTCGGCAATATCCCCTCAGTTTCGCGCTATCAGTTCGACTTAGCCTTGTCTTCGGTTGCGTCTCAACGTCGATACTATATTTGTTCCGATTTCTCCCCATGATTCTCCTCACCCTCTCGTGCACGGTCATCCCATCCGTGTACTATTTGTCTCCGACCCGTTCTTCCTGATTGTTGGTTTGTTGGCTCGTTCAATGTCCCTGACCCGTTGTTGACTCGTTCGATATCCCTGACCGTTGACTCGTTAATTCGTTGACCGGTTGACTCGTTGACTCGCTTGTCACAGGCAAGCTTTGCATCGAGGTCGGCTCCACCTCCAAAATCGCCTTCATTTCCGAAGAGCTTTGCATCGGTTGCGGTATCTGCGTCAAGGTGAGCATCGGCGCTGATAACAGTTACTTCGCCTCGGTATTCGCGATATCACTTTCCTTTATCGAAGTCGACATGCGATTTCTCAGAGTCTCTGGGCGTGGTCAGAAATTGTGTTTTTTTGTGGTCTGTGGTGACAGAAATGTCCGTTCGACGCCATTGAAATCATCAATCTGCCCAAGGACCTCGATAAGGACACCACGCACCGCTACGGCCCCAACACCTTCAAGCTCCACAGGTGACGCCAGAATCTGCGATATTAGGTTCCACACTGACGTCAGAGTTAGCTGCTTCGAACTTCACTGATGACGTCAGCGTTAGCTCCTTTAGCTCCAAGTTCTCGGGCCCCGCGCCGTTCTTTAGTCGACGTCCTAGCGTTGCAGGCCGTTACGCTGCAGACGAGATTGAGTTTCTACGTTACTGGGTGTAGAGTAGGCCACGTGATGATAACCAGGGTCCGGGGTTCTACTACATCATCAGCAGTGTCAGTTACGCATGTAGTTCTGCAGTGTCGTTTGAGGTGCCCGCGCGACGTCCCAGCCTAGGGTTAGGTCTACCATTGGCAGCAGAGCTAGGGTGTTCTGAGTTTACGTGATGCAGGTTTCACACATGCTCTTTTCTTCTTCTCGGGAGCCCATCAGGGGCTGCCCTTACACTCAAGTCATCACACTAGAGACTCGTTCTCGCAGCGATGTTTTCCTTCATGGCAGCGCCGGGCGTACGAAACGGCGCGTGCAGCTGCCTTGCCTTGTCTACGTCGAACAGGGGTTCAGGGTTTTACGCGTGACCTCTCATCCGTCCCTTGCGTTTTTCAACTCCCTTTCATCCGCCCGTCTCATGTATCCGTCCACGTGTCAGCCGCACAAACCCTAGTCCATAATAGACTTCAGCCTCCAAATGTATCTTTGATGCCTCCAGACTAAACTGATAAATTGGCAGGGCCAGCAGCTATTATGTCCTCAGAACCGCTGACAACCGATCCTCGCGCCTTATGTCCGATCACCGCCACCCATTTAGGCTGCTAGTGCCGCGACCAGGCCAAGTGCTGGGTCTGGTGGGCACGAATGGCATTGGCAAGTCAACGGCGCTCAAGGTGCTGGCAGGGCTGATGGACCGCCCGTGCTAGCCGCAATCTAACTCAATCCCCCAGCCCCACCCACCCCACCCCCTCCGTGTCTCCCACTCCCAACGCCTGCTTCTCAGGCTGCCAGTGCCGCGACCAGGCCAGGTGCTGGGCCTGGTGGGCACGAATGGCATTGGCAAGTCAACGGCGCTCAAGGTGCTGGCAGGGAAGCTCAAACCCAACCTCGGGCGATTCAGTGTGAGCACCCAGCCCCTCTTCTCTCTCCAATTCTCGCGTCCATTCCTTCTTTTCACTCCAATCCTCGCCCTTTCCTTTCTACTCGTATTAATACTATTAGCTGCTCCTTATCCACCCCCTCCCTTTCTCCCATCCCCCCACTCCCTTTCTGCCTCTCCCCTTGCATGCACACCCCCACCCCCCTTCCCTCCTTCTCAAATGTCTCTCCTCTTTTCCCTTTCACTCTTATTATCACCCCGCGTATTGCACACAGAACCCCTCGATTGTCTGGAGATTTTGATATACTTTTGAAAGTCGGAGCTGCAGGATTGCCTATGAAAGGCCTGAGAAAATAGCGTTGTCTTCCCACTTCCCCCATGCTTGTGCCCCACATTTTGACTCCAGAACCCCCCTGACAGGCAAGACATTTTGACCTATTTCTGAGAGTCCGACTGCAAGTTTGCCGTAATTGTCCGTCTCATCCCCTCCAATCCTCCCCACCCTTATATGTGCTGCCCATACTGTGTGTTGCCCTGCCCGTTTTGTGTGTTCAGAACCCCCCTGACTGGCAGGAGATTCTGACCTACTTCCGAGGGTCTGAGCTCCAGAACTACTTCACTCGCATTCTGGAGGATAACCTGAAGGTGGGTGGGGTTCGGTGCAAAGGGGTATGCAGGTTGGGTCTGACATGGGGTTGGTGTCTGACACTTTCTGAGTTGCAAAACTGCTCTACTTGCATTTTGGAAAGGATCCTCAAGTTGGGGTGCGGTGCGAGGGGGTACGCAGGTTTACGTCTGACATTGAGTTGGTGCCTGAGACTGGCTGAGCTGCTCAACTCCTTCACTCGCATTTTGGAAGAGAACATCAAGGTGGAGTGCAGTGCAAAGGAGGCATACAAATTTGCGTTCAAGGGAGGTTAGTGGGCTGTGAGCAGATGACGATCGAGTTGATCAATTCAGGACAGCACGGTTTAGACCATCGCTCCCTGTGCGTCGTCGTTGCCACCTTTAACCTCTTTCTAACGCACTGATGCGTGTCCCATTCTCCCTCTCCCCTTCTCTCCCTCCTGGTCCTCTGCAGGCCATCATCAAGCCACAGTACGTGGACCACATTCCCAAGGCGGTCAAGGGGTTGGTGGGCGCAGTGCTCACAGAGTAGGGGTTCTTGAGACATCAAAGTGACATTCATGCCCCATTCCCCCCGTGCTCCCCTTCCCCCACCCTCAACCTCCCAGGCCATCATCAAGCCACAGTACGTGGACCACATTCCCAAGGCGGTGAAGGGACTGGTGGGCGTGGTGCTGACAGAAAAGGACGAGCGTGATGCCAAGGATGAACTCTCGGAAGTGTTGGAGCTCAAGCAGGTGCGATGGGGTTCAAAGTGGTGAGAGGCAGTTCGAATAGGTGCGAGTGGGGCAGGGCTGTTCGGGTGCTTGGCGTGGAGAGTGAGGGAAGGCGGTGAAGGGGTTGGTGGGCGTGGTGCTGACAGGGAAGGACGAGCGCGATGCCAAGGATGAGCTGTCGGAAGTGCTGGAGCTCAAGCAGGTGCGATGGGGTTTAGTGCGGTGAGTGGCAGTTCAAAGAGGTGCGATGAATCTCTAAGTGGTCCATTTATCAGATGGTGAGGCTGTAGCGGTTTGCCATCAGACCCAATTAATTAACTGTCTAACCCCTTTTCCTCTCCCTCTTCCCCCTTGTTCCCTGCTTCAGGTGTGGGAGCGTGAGGTGGAGCATCTCTCAGGAGGAGAGCTGCAGCGGTTTGCCATCGGGGTGGTGGCGGGGCAGCTGGGAGACATCTACATGTTCGATGAGCCCTCCAGCTACCTGGACGTGCGGCAGCGGCTCAAGGCAGCCCAGGTCATCCGCTCGCTGCTGCGCCCTGATAGGTGCGATAGAGCACCGCCCCACACCTTGTTAGGTGCGATAGAGCACCGCCCCACACCTTGTTAGGTGCGATAGAGCACCGCCCCACACCTTGTTAGGTGCGATAGAGCACCGCCCCACACCTTGTTAGGTGCGATAGAGCACCGCCCCACACCTTGTTAGGTGCGATAGAGCACCGCCCCACACCTTGATAGGTGCGATAGAGCACCGCCCCACACCTTGTTAGGTGCGATAGAGCACCGCCCCACACCTTGTTAGGTGCGATAGAGCACCGCCCCACACCTTGATAGGTGCGATAGAGCACCGCCCCACACCTTGTTAGGTGCGATAGAGCACCGCCCCACACCTTGTTAGGTGCGATAGAGCACCGCCCCACACCTTGTTAGGTGCGATAGAGCACCGCCCCACACCTTGTTAGGTGCGATAGAGCACCGCCCCACACCTTGTTAGGTGCGATAGAGCACCGCCCCACACCTTGTTAGGTGCGATAGAGCACCGCCCCACACCTTGTTAGGTGCGATAGAGCACCGCCCCACACCTTGTTAGGTGCGATAGAGCACCGCCCCACACCTTGATAGGTGCGATAGAGCACCGCCCCACACCTTGTTAGGTGCGATAGAGCACCGCCCCACACCTTGTTAGGTGCGATAGAGCACCGCCCCACACCTTGATAGGTGCGATAGAGCACCGCCCCACACCTTGTTAGGTGCGATAGAGCACCGCCCCACACCTTGTTAGGTGCGATAGAGCACCGCCCCACACCTTGTTAGGTGCGATAGAGCACCGCCCCACACCTTGTTAGGTGCGATAGAGCACCGCCCCACACCTTGTTAGGTGCGATAGAGCACCGCCCCACACCTTGTTAGGTGCGATAGAGCACCGCCCCACACCTTGTTAGGTGCGATAGAGCACCGCCCCACACCTTGTTAGGTGCGATAGAGCACCGCCCCACACCTTGTTAGGTGCGATAGAGCACCGCCCCACACCTTGTTAGGTGCGATAGAGCACCGCCCCACACCTTGTTAGGTGCGATAGAGCACCGCCCCACACCTTGTTAGGTGCGATAGAGCACCGCCCCACACCTTGTTAGGTGCGATAGAGCACCGCCCCACACCTTGATAGGTGCGATAGAGCACCGCCCCACACCTTGTTAGGTGCGATAGAGCACCGCCCCACACCTTGTTAGGTGCGATAGAGCACCGCCCCACACCTTGATAGGTGCGATAGAGCACCGCCCCACACCTTGTTAGGTGCGATAGAGCACCGCCCCACACCTTGTTAGGTGCGATAGAGCAACGCCCCACACCTTGTTAGGTGCGATAGAGCACCGCCCCACACCTTGTTAGGTGCGATAGAGCACCGCCCCACACCTTGTTAGGTGCGATTAGCGGTCACACAAAGAAAGAGGCACCATGTTCACATGCAACGGACGGACACGTTCACCTGCTGCTGCGCATATGGCAAGCTGTGTGCATGCAGTGCGGTGCGGAGTGGTCTGATTCACTACCTTACCTCTGATGCACCCATCCTCCCTGCCCCATCCCATTCTCAGAGCACGATCTGAGTGTGCTACGAGGTGAGTCTATACGCACCCCTGCCCCATGCACCACCCCACCTGCCACAGACATGCAACCATCATCTCCCCACCAGATACGCGATCGTCGTGGGTGGGTGGAGCACGATCTCAGTATGCTCAACTATCTCTCCCACTTCATCTGCTGCCTCTACGGCAAGCCGGGAGCCTACGGGGTGGTCACACTGCCCGTCGTCTCTGCCGGCCCATGCCCCATGCACCCATCCCCCCCTGCCCCATACATCCCCATCCCCCTCTGCTCCGTGCACCCATCCTGTTGGCCGATTATCCACTCTCCCACCCCCCAGATACGTGATTGTGGTGGAGCACGACCTGAGTGTGCTCGACTATCTCTCCGACTTCATCTGCTGCCTCTACGGCAAGCCGGGTGCCTACGGGGTGGTCACACTGCCCTTCTCAGTGCGAGAGGGCATCAACATCTTCCTCGCCGGCTTTGTGCCAACCGAGAACCTGCGCTTCCGAGACGAGTCGCTCACCTTCAGGGTAAGTCTGCTTTTCTGTCACTCCTTGTGAAAGGATGTTTCTTCCTTTCCTCAGTTTTAAACTCTGATCAAGACGAGGCCAAGACAGGTTCAATCTTTGCAGCTTAAAAGGCTTCTCTACGCCTCATTTCATTCTATCGACTCTCCCTTCAGGTGGCATATAGACTCCTGTTGAAACCCAGATGAAGCCAAGACATACAATCTGTACAAGTACCCGTGCATGATTATTAATTAAGGAGCAGAGGGACTTGAAGCTCTCTGTGTGCTGTTACAGGCTCCTCAACGCACTCCTTTCCCCCCCCTCGGCTCCTTCTCCTACTCCGTGCCTCTTCTTCCCTCTCCACTTCCCATCAGGTGGCGGAAACCCCGGTGGATAATCCCGAGGAGGCCAAGACGTACACGCGCTACAAGTACCCGCGCATGGTCAAGAAGCAGGGCGGGTTTAAGCTGACGGTGGAGCCGGGGGACTTCACGGACTCACAGATCGTGGTGATGCTGGGGGAGAACGGCACCGGCAAGACCACCTTCATCCGCATGCTGGTAGGCCAGAAACGGAAAATTTGACATGTTTCCACCACGGAGTGGGTAGGTGACCTCTCTCCTCGCTAGTAGTAGGAGGGAGGGGGGTATGCTTTCGCAAGGCTGATAAGCAACTCTAATTTCATATGCACGTCTTCGGGATTTTTTTTGGCCTTAAATCCCGTTCCCTGCTTTACTTACAATCACCAGCTCAAATGCCCCTTCGGGTCTCTTCCCTCCCTCCCTCCCATCTCCCCTCCCTCCTCTCCCTTTTTCTCCCCAGGCGGGTCTGTTAAAGTCTGACCCGGACGAAGCAACCGGCAAGGAGGCGGCGAATCTCCCCGAGTTCAGTGTGTCGTACAAGCCGCAGAAGACCAGCCCCAAGTTCCCTGCCTTACTCTCCTCCCTCCCTCCTCTCCTCTCCTCTCCTGTCTCGTTCTGAACCCCTCCAGGCCGGCCTCTTGAAGGCAGATCCAGACGAGGAGACCGGGAAAGAAGCTGAGGACCTTCCCGAGTTCAACGTGTCGTACAAGCTGCAGAAGATCAGCCGCAAGTTCCCCCTCTCATACCCTCTCGTTCCTCTCCTTTCCGCTCTCCTGTGTCCTTCTCAACCCCTTACAGGCTGGTCTCTTAAAGGCTGACCCGGACGAGGAGACCGGCAAGGAGGCCGAGGACCTGCCGGAGTTCAACGTGTCGTACAAGCCGCAGAAGATCAGCCGCAAGTTCCCTCTTTCGATTCTCTTTCCCCGACTCCTTTCCCTCCCCTCTCCTGTCCTGTCTGCTTCTCATCCCTTGCAGGCGGGTCTGTTAAAGTCAGACCTGGACGAGGAGACGGGCAAGGAGGCCGAGGACCTGCCCGAGTTCAACGTGTCGTACAAGCCGCAGAAGATCAGATCAGCCCCAAGTTCCCCTTCCCGTGCTCATTCTCCTTCCCCTTCCCTTCCCTCTTTGATCTCCCATGTCCCTCCTATCACACAGGCTGGTCTCTTAAAGTCGGACCCGGACGAGGAAACCGGCAAGGAAGCGGAAGATCTCCCGGAGTTCAACGTGTCGTACAAGCCGCAGAAGATCAGCCCCAAGTTCCCGCACAGCGTGCGCGCGCTGCTGCACTCCAAGATCCGCGACTCGTTCCACCACCCGCAGTTCAACACGGACGTGCTGCGCCCCATGCAGATCGACCCGCTGTTAGACCAGGAGGTGGTGAACTTGTCGGGTGGGGAGCTGCAGCGCGTTGCCATCACGCTGTGTCTCGGAAAGGTGAGAAGGAGCAGACAGGTATGAGCTGGGTGGGTGGGTGGGTGGAAGGGGGACCCCCCTCCTCCCACCACCCGCAGTTCAACACGGACGTGCTGCGCCCCATACAGATCGAGTCCCTCCTGGACTAGGAGGTGGTGAACCTGTCTGGTGGGGAGCTGCAGCGTGTGGCTATTACCCTCTGCCTTGGCAAGGTGAGAAAGGGCACACAGACAGGTGTGAGCTGGGTGGGTGGTGGTGGGGCACACCCCTCCTTCCACCACCCGCAGTTCAACACCGACGTGCTGTGCCCCATGCAGATCGATCCTTTGTTGGACCAGGAGGTGGTGAATTTGTCAGGAGGAGAGCTGCAGCGCGTGGCCATCACTGTCTCGGAAAGCTATGTGGTACGGGCCAACCAGGTGTGTCCAGGGGCGGATGGTGGTGGGACCCCTCCCTCCTCCCACCACCCTCAGTCCAACACGGACGTGCTGCGCCCCATGTAGATCGACCCGCTGTTAGACCAGGAGGTGTGGAATTCATCAGGGGGGAAGTGCAGCGCGTGGCCAGACTCTCTGTCTCGGGAAGTCAAGAATGGTTCAATCCCACTGGCTCCTTGTTAGGTTTTGAGTGGCGCATCGTAGCAGCCAATGTGATCAAGCTGTTCAACCTGTTCCACCCACACTCCCCCTTCTCCCTCTGCAAAAGTCTTCCCTTCCATTCTCCATCTCCGCTCCTCCTCTTCCCACCCCTTCTTTCTCACGAGCCTTCAGCCCATCCTGACTCAAAGCAGCGCATCGTGGCGGCTAAGGTCATCAAGCGCTTCACCCCTCCGCTCTGCTCCCCTCGTTCGCCCTCTTTCCTTCTAGTTCCCTCTTCCCCTTCCTCCCCTCTCCAGCCTGCCGACATCTACCTGATCGATCCTCGGCCCATCTCGACTCGGAGCAGCGCATTGTGGCGGCCAAGGTGATCAAGAGGTCCATCCTGCACTGGCATTCCCCTCTTCCCTCTGGCTCCCTCTTCCCTTTCCCGAATGCAGCCCGCCGACATCTACCTGATCGACGAACCCTCGGCCTACCTGGACTCAGAGCAGCGCATCGTGGCGGCCAAGGTCATCAAGCGCTTCATCCCTCTCTCCCCACACTCCCCCCCCCGTCCCCCTGTGCTGCTTCCCACCAGCCTGCCGACATCTACCTGATCGACGAACCCTCGGCCTACCTGGACTCAGAGCAGCGCATCGTGGCAGCCAAGGTGATCAAGCGGTTCATCCTGCACGCCAAGAAGACAGCGTTTGTGGTGGAGCACGACTTCATCATGGCCACGTACCTGGCGGACCGCGTCATCGTGTACGAGGGGCAGCCGTCGGTGGATTGCACGGCACGCACGCCCCAGTCCCTCAACAGCGGGATGAACCTCTTCCTCTCGGTGAGACACTCCCTTTCTCTTGCTGTGTGAGTGAGCCCCCCTCCCCCCCTCCATGAGCACGATTTCATCATGGCCACGTACCTGGCGGACCGGGTCATTGTGTACGAGGGGCAGCCGTCTGTGGACTGCACTGCTCGCACGCCCCAGTCGCTCAACAGCGGAATGAACCTCTTCCTCTCGGTATGCCATTCAGCCTGTAATTTTCACGTTCATGGTCAGATGTGATTTTTTAGATTTCTCAAACGTCGAGGCTGCGGGTTTCCGGGTATTTTTTAGAATTCTCAGAAATACCCTGCAAGGTCATGACTGGGGCTCATGACTTGGGTTCACGACTGGTTCACATTCTGCAAGGACCATGCCAACGTCTGTGTGCCTTACCCATTGTTATCCTGATGCTCATTGCTGTTCTCACCCCCACACACACCCGTATGCTCACCCTGATTCCCACCATTATACTCATCCTGCAACCCCCCCCTCCCTTCTCCCCCATCCCCCTTCCCCATCCTCCTTCCCCCCTCCCACCCCACCAGCAAGTTATTAACACGTACCAGCAGAAATTCACCAACTTGCACTTGTACTAAGCAAGTTATTCCATTCTATATTGTCACCTCCATGCTCACTTCTTCGAAACCCCCCCCCCCACCCCCTACCCCCACCAGCAACTGGACATCACGTTCAGAATGGACCCCACCAACTTGCGGCCGCGCATCAACAAGAGGGAATCTGTCAAGGACCGCGAGCAGAAGGCCGCCGGCACGCCCATGGGAGCTGTACCCTTGGAGGGTGCACTCTTGGACCCCTTTCTCACTCCCGTTTTCACCCCTGTTGTCTCTTCTGTCCCCCCCCCCCACCATCAACACCCCTCCCCCCACCCCATCAGCAACTGGACATCACGTTCAGGAGGGACCCCACCAACTTGCGGCCGCGCATCAACAAGAGGGAATCTGTCAAGGACCGCGAGCAGAAGGCCGCCGGCACACATGGGAGCTGTACCCTTGGAGGGTGCACTCTTGGACCCCTTTCTCACTCCCGTTTTCACCCCTGTTGTCTCTTCTGCCCCCCCCCCCCACCATCAACACCCCTCCCCCCACCCCATCAGCAACTGGACATCACGTTCAGGAGGGACCCCACCAACTTGCGGCCGCGCATCAACAAGAGGGAATCTGTCAAGGACCGCGAGCAGAAGGCCGCCGGCACACATGGGAGCTGTACCCTTGGAGGGTGCACTCTTGGACCCCTTTCTCACTCCCGTTTTCACCCCTGTTGTCTCTTCTGTCCCCCCCCCCCCACCATCAACACCCCTCCCCTCACCCCATCAGCAACTGGACATCACGTTCAGGAGGGACCCCACCAACTTGCGGCCGCGCATCAACAAGATGGAATCTGTCAAGGACCGCGAGCAGAAGGCCGCCGGCACACATGGGAGCTTTTTCATTCCCGTTCACACCACTGTTCTCGCTCCTGTGCCACCAACCACCACCCCATTCTCTCCCCCCCCCCCCACCACCAGCAACTGGACATCACGTTCAGGCATGACCCCACCAATTTCCGGCCGCGAATCAACAAGAAGGAATCTGTGAAGGACCGCGAGCAGAAGGCACCTCTGTCCTCTCTCCTCTCCCCACACCCACCACCCGCCCATATTCTCACCCCCTTTCTCCCCCATCCAATCAGCAACTGGACATCACATTCAGGCGCGACCCCACCAACTTCCGGCCGCGAATCAACAAGATGGAATCTGTGAAGGACCGCGAGCAGAAGAATGCCGGCACCTACTACTACCTCGATGACTGAGTCTTGAGTCTCACTGGCAATTGCCAACTTGCCATTTATCCCTACGGGGGTACACCTGTGAGACATTACGGGGGTCCCTACAGGGATACCTTACAGGCATCCCTATAAGATTTGACACATGTGGAGGCTAAACTCGTGAGAGTTACCATACCACCCTTTTGAAAGCAACGCTCACATGCTAGGTGTTTTAGAGGGACAAATGCATTACGGTAGGTTTTGTGCATTGCAATCGTGTAGCAGGATTCGAGCTGTTGTTTCTCTGGCAAGTGGATGCTCTAGGACATGCATTCCCGGCGGACTTTTGACCCGACCTTGAGAGTCGCCTGTGCCAATTGATTGCTGTAGACATAACAAACGAAGCACGTTATTTGTTCAGGCTGTAGTCGAGTGAAGGTGTCTGTAACTTCTTCCAGTGACAGTATTTTGCAGTTGGAGCTTGAAAGATAAAGTTGCATTCCTGGTGGACTTTCGACCTGACCCAGCACGTGGCTATTACGCTGTGTCTTGGAAAGGTGAGAAGCAGCCAGGTCTGTGGAGACAGCACCCACCCAGCACACACCTGTCTGCCTCGACAGACCTGGCTGCAGGCTCGCGTCACATCACACTGAAATTCATGTAAACCCAAAACCCTTCGCGCATTTTACCAGGCAAGTCTGATCAGAGGCGTAGGAACACGCCCTAACAGAGGAGTAATCTTTATTTTCTCTCCAGTTTTAGAGCAGTCTAAATAGTTCCCCCAGTGAGGCACACGTGCGCATTCTTTAAAAACCACACAAAACAAAATTCTCCTTGATTACCCCAGTCTGCGTGCCAGCTCAGCAATGGCCAGGCCGTACAGCTTGGCGGGGTTGTAGCGCAGGATGACGTGGAAGTTGTGGCATGCCAGGTAAGCGACGCCAGCTGGACCGTCAGGTGCGATCTGGGGTAGGTGGGGTGGGATAGATGGACGGCAGGTGGAGGAGCAACCATGGTGCACAGTTCAGGAGAGAAAGGAAGAAGTGGAGTGAGCAATGGGCTGTGCAAGGGAGGGAGAAAGCATGGCCCTAGACTTGAGGGACGAGGAAGCAGTCATTTTTGAAACGCGCCGATGATCAGTGCCTCAAAATCACAAGAGCTGAAAACATTCAGTGGTTAAGGAGGAGCACTCAGCAATACAGGAGCAGTGCAGCAGGGTGAACGAAAGTATCAAATATTGGTAGGTGAGAAGGAGAAGGTTGGATGCATTGGCAAACGGAAGGGAGTGCAGCAAGAGGCATACGAGGTTGGCGATTATGTCAGGAGGCAGATTCGTGGCAGCACTTGCACTGCTTCCATCCCTTCCATCGCTTTCATCGCTTTCATTGCTTTCATTGCTTCCACTACTCGGAACGTTCCGACCGGTGGCATTACTTCCATCAGCAATTCTGACTCCGTGCTTCTGCTGCCACTCCGCCACTGTGAGTTTCACGGCGGGCTTTAAGAGCGAAGGCGGGAAGTCGGGGGGCAGGACCACCTGAGAGGGGGAACGAGGGGGCAGGGAGATTCGCTCAATGAATAAGGGCTATTTCCAACTCCCTGCTGCCATGAGAGAACGATGAGAGGGACATAAGAGAAGCATGAGAGAAGCATGAGAGAAGCATAAGAGGGATATGAGAGAAGCATAAGAACCAGAGAGTTCCCCTCTTACCTCAACCCCCAACGGCTCCCCTCGTTTCCACCGGTTGCATCTGAGACAGTGTGCAATTGATGCTAGTGCGTGCACAGAAACACAGCAACGCAGCAACACAGGAACACACTGGCTCTTGAAGAAACACATAAACTGCCGCTTTGCTCACCTCAACCCCCACTGGCCCCCCTCGTTTCCACCGGTTGCACTTGAGGTAGTTTGCCATTGATGCGAGCACGTCGGGAATGGAAGTCCAAATATCTGCTTCGAAAGGGGCGAGATGAGAATGGGAGTTGAGAGGCAAAATGAGAGAGGAAGACGAGAGGACAGAGCTGAAGAAATCAAACATCAGATGTCTGCAACGAAAGGGAGGCGATCAGCAGGAAAGACGAGAGAGGGGCAAGAGGCGGATATGAGATAGATGACAGGGCAACATGATGTGACTGCCACAGGGCGACTCAAGATGATGAGCTGATTGCCTATGGATGCAAGGCCTCACCTCTCCACCCATCTCCATCGTAATCCACCTCATAGCCACTGCATACGACCCCAACAACCGCAGTTCCCTCTGCCCTCGCGTCGCGACTACACCGTAGCTCTGGTATAAGTAAGCGCCACACTCAGAACCTGCTCACCTCTCCGCCCGTCTCCATTGTAGTCAACAGCATACGCCTTAAAAGATGATGGCATGAACTGGCACTGCCCCATCGCCCCTGCATACGACCCCAGCAACTGCGCCCTCCCCATTGCACGTATTATTTACATATTACATGTGAGCTCTACTCTCAAGCTCCCACCTCACCTCTCCGCCCGTCTCCATCGTAATCCACCGCATAAGCCTTGAAAGACGAAGGCATGAACTGGCACTGCCCCATGGCCCCTGCATACGACCCCAGCAACTCTACTCTCAATTCCCCCACCTCACCTCTTCTCCCATCTCCATCATAGTCAACAGCATAGGCCTTGAAGGACGACGGCATGAACTGGCACTGCCCCATGGCCCCTGCATACGACCCTAGCAGCCGCACCCTCCTCTCTCCCACTGCGCTTGCAGCTGTATCAGCAGCAGCAGCAGCAGGAAGGCTCTGGATTGCTACGGGAGGCCCGTGGTTGTTCTCAAGGATAGACAGCGCTTCCATTAGCTCTTCCCGGAAGAATGCGGCGCGGCGAGGCTGCAGACAGAAAAAGGAAGGGAGGAGAAAAGGATCGCGCTGGTGGGAGTGTGCTGCTCTGAGAGGCCCGTGGTTGTTCTCAAGGATAGAGAGCGCTTCCATTAGCTCTTCCCGGAAGAATGCAGCACGGCGAGGCTGGATGAAGGAAAGGGAAGGGAGAAGAGAAAGGTGTGTGCCTGATGGGGTGGAGCGGGTCGATTGTGTCAAACATCATGTAAAATATCAGGTGAAAAATCAGGTGAAAATAGGAAAAACATATTGAGTACAATATTGAGTAAAATATTGGGTAAAGCGCACTAAAGCACCACACCACAACACACTACCCCATACAACCTTACATGTCACCTGCTTCGTACGATACATAAGGGTGAGCAGAGCCTGGATGGCATCCACTTGCACTGGGGCACACTGAACTGAACCACCACACCGCACCGCACCGCACCGCACCACACCACACCCACACCACACTACACCACCTCTCACCTGCTTCGTACGATATGCGAGGGTGAGCAGAGCTTGAACGGCATCCCACTTGCCCATGTTCTTCCCATAGCTGCCACGTCAGCAGTCACACAACACAGGTCAGCAACAAACCTGAGTCGCTTTGAAGGACTCTTGAAAGCACAACTATCGAGTTGAGTGCACTACATGTCCGTGCATTACATGTTTCTCAAGTACATATGAACCCTCATACCACTCCCCGTCTCTCATGCACCACCATGGCCCATGGCATGTTCTTGCATCCCATGTTGTCACATGCATACATGCCATCAACACATGCATCCTCGTTACAACATCCTTGCTATAACACACATCCCCGTTATAACGCCCATCCTCGTTACAATACCTGCTCTCTATGCCCCACAGCGCAGTCATCACATTGGCCGGCACGCCGTAGATCTCCTCAATCTCCGCCAGAAGCTTCCGGTGAGCTTCCATCACCTGCCTGCCTTCCAGCACCCGTGCATCACTCACCATCCTGTGTTGTGCACCCACGATTGAACCAACCCATTCAAGAATAGGGGATGAACAGAATATATACTAATGCCCACAAACCTACACGTGACGACCTCGTTTGTGCACCCATCAAGTATGACAAGCATGGGGGAGGGATGGATACATGCGCGTAGTGATACCTTCTTGTTGGGTACTTCCCACTTGTTGGTTACCTTCTCCTTCCCTCTCTTTTTCCCCAGTCCTCACCTGGCCACATACTGTCGTGCAGTGAGCACCACCTCCGCGGCGCCAGTCACTCTAGACACCACAGCAGGCAGCGGCTGCAGCCCTTCCAACGCCCCGTGTTACCTTGCATGCATATATTACTCACCATCCCTTGCTCTTTACACTCACCTGGCCACATACTGCCGTGCAGTCAAGACCACCTCTGCTGCACCAGTCACCTTAGCCACCACAGCAGGCAGCGGCTGCAGCCCTTCCAACGCCCCGTGTTACCTTGCATGCATATATGACTCACCATCCCTTGCTCTTTACACTCACATGGCCACATACTGCCGTGCAGTCAAGACCACCTCTGCTGCACCAGTCACCTTAGCCACCACAGCAGGCAGCGGCTGCAGCCATTCCAATGCCTCCCTCACCTCACCATCTTCCCACACTGATTATTCAATCAACCTTCCCGAGACCTCACCTGTCCACATACTGTCGTGCAGTCAGCACAACCTCCGCGGCACCAGTCACCTTGGACACCACAGCAGGCAGCGGCTGCAGCCCTTCCAAAGCCTCCCTCACTGTCTCCTCCGATATGCCCCGCGCTACTGCCTCATCCCACACCCCCTGCAGCCATATCTCATACTCTAGCGCCTCCCTTTCCCTCTCCCTCTTCCTCTCTCGTTCCCTCTCCTTTTCCTTCTCCCTTTCTTTCTCCCGCTTCCTTTTTTCCTCCCTTACCCTCCTTGCCTCGTCCCTCTCCTGTCTTCTGGATTTACTCGTACTGACTCCCTCTTGACTACCCCCGTTGACTTGATTGACTTCCATGACTGGTCCTGCTTCTCCACTCACCGCTCCAACGCTCTCCTTGCCTCCCTCCCATGCCCTGTGCCGGCTCATTCTATCCTTATCACTATGGCTATTACTGCTGCTACTATCGATCACCCAGCTCGCCCCTCCTCTTCTCCTTCTCTTCCCACTCTTCTCCCTCCACCACCGCTGCTCGGCATGCTCCTGCTGCTGCAGTCTGGTCGTTCCCCGTCCCCAAGCAACCAGCTGCACATGCTTCACTGCGTCACCACCCACCACACAGTCATGCTGGTACTCTTGCTGCTGATGATGCACCTCCTGCTGCTGTCCGGTCATCCCCTGTCTCCAAGCAACCAGCTGCACATGCTTCACTGCATCACCACCAACCACCGCACAGTCTCTCAACATTTCACACGGCACAACCCTTGGGCCATCCATCGCTGCACTGCATAGCACCTCTTCTTGTCTAAAATCCACCACTCCTAACCTCGCTGCACCCTTTTCACCTTTCCACTCCACTCTTCTTGCCCCTACAAGCGGCTTTTTCTCCAACTCAAAGCTCACCGCCTGCTGTTCTCCTCGCCTCAGCCCTCCATTCCCTCCCTTCCCACCCTTCCCTCCCCTCCCCCTCCCCCTCCCAGCACCAGCAGCAGCCACTAGAAGAGCCAGCAGCAGCAGCAGCAGCACAGTGATTCCAGCAGCCAACCACCGGGCAGCATGGGTCATCACCCCCCCTGCTAGCTGTTTCCCCACTGTCTCTTTGAGAGCAGTGGCACATGCTGCTAGTATCGACGCCCACCACTGCTGCAGCTGCTGCAGCTGCTGCACCCCTGATCGTTTCTTCTCGCCCCCCTCCTCTTCCCTCACCCCTTCGGCTTTTCTGTTTCCCCCCTCCTCCTCCTCTTCCATCCTTGGTCTCTTTACCTCCTGGGAGTGTCCGGTAGGGTCAGGTGGGTCCTCCATTGTAGCACCTCTGCCTTCAGTCACACCACCAGCCTTGGCAACAAGCCTCCCCTCGCTATAATCCCCATCCTTCTCCCCAGCAGCACCACTCTCTACCCCATTACAACCACTTGCTATACAATCATCCCCACACACAGGAACATCACCACTGGCAGCCACTTCTGCAGTGGCATACCCATCACATCCCACCACCACCACAGTAGCAGCGGCGCCACCATCAGCAGCGTAACTTCTCCTAGCAATCTGACGAGCAAAGGCAGCACTGCCGCCAACAGAACCCACCACCAACCCCCCACGAGCAGCAGCAGCAGCCGCCGCAGCAGCAGCGGCAGCGGCAGTGGTTGCTAACAGAGAGACACTGACAGTAGCAGTGGCCGCTTTTCTTAAAGCCCGGATTCTTTCGGGAGTGGCAGCAGCAGCAGCAGCGCCTGCAAGTGTTTCAGCTCTCTGCCTCAATGCCTCCTTCAGCAGTGCTTGGGACTGCTGTTTCAACGCCTGTGCGTGCTGCTTGAGTGTCTGCCCTTGTTCTTTTAATGTTAGCGAGGTTCGAATCCGCACTCTAACCCGCTTCTGACGTCTTTTCTCTGAACCTGAACTTGCTCCAACCCCTGCCGAAGCTACACCTGCCGAAGCTACACCTACAGAGACTCTTTGGCCTAATTCTTCCCCGTCCTGTAGTAACCCATCTCCAGCTGTAGTCGCTGCACTGGACTGGTCAACCAAGCGTTGACTCAGTCTTCTCCTCCACCCACCAGCCTGATCCCTCAGCCTGCCTTTCACGTGTTGACCAGTGCGTTGACCCAAGTCAAAGACAGAATCCGGCAGTTGACTCAAGTTGATATCAGAAAACGGCAGTTGACCCGAATTCTGCCCAGCCTTGTGAATTGCCATGTCTGCCAGCCTGCCTTTGACCCGTTGACCAGTGCGTTGACCCAAGTCAAAGACAGCATCCGGCAGCTGGCTCAGCTTTTGCCCTGCCTTGGGACCTCCCAGGTCTCCCAGCCTGCCTTTGACCCGTTGACCAGCGCGTTGACCCAAGTCAAAGACAGAATCCGGCAGCTGAGTCAGCCTCTGCCCTGCCTTGCGACCTACTTCACCAGCGGCCTTTGTCAACGCTCTAGGTGCCTCAGCAGCCACGCCAGCAGCTCTTTTCAGCCTACCAGGCACCTCTTTTATCGGAGCAGCAGTTTCCTTTAGTTTAACGGGCACAGTACCCACCAGAGCAGCGGCTCTTCTCACAGCAGCCGCAACGGCTGCTCTCTTGCTCCCAGCGCCGCCACCCTTGCCAGTCTGACTCGTTTCAGTTGCACTCGTTTCAACGTGACTCGTTTTGATCTGACTCGTTTCAACCATACTCAACTCTACAATTTCTGCTGGAATGCCCTTCTCGTCTCGCACAGCCTTCTCCCCCACTCCACGTCTCTCCCGTCTCCTCTCCCCTCTCATCCCCCCCTCCTCATCCTCCCCATCGCCCTGCACCTCACCTCCCCCATCGGCAATCCCTGAGCTCACACTCCCCTCCACCGCCGATGCTGCAAGCCGGCAATTGCGGCCGAACGGGTGGTTACTGCTAAAACGGGAATTCGAGGGAGCAACGAACGTATGTGAGAGCGGGAAAGGTGTGGCAGAGAGGAGACATGCGTTCGCGAATGGACGGCTGCTGCTGCTGCCGCCGCCGCTGCTGCTGCGGGGATTCCTGCTGAGTGCGCTGCGTCGTGAAGATACCCCGGATGTGACAATAAGCGGAAGGTGACTACTTCGAGGGTAAATAGGCCCCACAGTAGCTGCTGCGGACACAGCGGCCATCACGGCGGCAATAACTGCTTCCTTAGCGGCGCGTCTCTGCCTAAAAGGGGTTTTAAACCGCCATGGTCATTCTGAACAGTCTTCCATTTAACTCGGAAGCTGGAGACTTGGAAGCTCGGGTCGGGAGTCCCGGTTGTCGCGCAGTGATTACTTCGGCACTCGAGGCTACTTAGAAACCGCGGCCTTGACGATTCGGAACGTGCTGATGGGCAGAACCGAGGTGACAGGGTGAGGTGCGGATGGACTGGCTCGCTGAATGCTCACGCAGTACGATATTATACAGCGCGTCATACTCCAAGGTTGTCATACATGTACAGTAATAGAGATAGCAACATATGGCTCACCTCAAATGTCATAGAAGTGGGAAGTTATATTGTCTTTGGCGCAGGTCGAGCGGATTTGCCAGAGAAAAAAGGCAGGTCGAGCTCGTCTGGTCGAGCTCGACTAGACCCACGCGGAAGCGGCGCAAGCTTGCGCCGAGCAAGACAACCCCCACCGCCCCAAGGGCTAGGTTTGGCCTGCTTGTGAAACAGTGGTCTGCCCGAGCAGATTCGTGGCGCAATTCAGCTGGCGAAGCACGTGCTCTCGCGTGTGCAGACGTCAATTGACGTCCAGATTTCGCGCAAACGGTTGCGACGTGATCTTTGCGACCACGTCGCAACCAGTTTACGAAAACCCCTGTATTGAGAAACTCGGTACCGGGGTTCGATTTAGAAGTATGTTTACAGTGGTTTTTTGTTAATTTGCACACGTCTTACGAGATTACATCATCTTCCGCTTGTTAGAGCGTTTTTTGTTTGCGCGTGTATCCGGCTAATTCTGTGTTCGGAAACGCAATTTGTACCACGGCCATTCGCTAACAGACAGACGAGCAGGTCGGTTCTCTTCGATCGCGACAAGGAATCTTTTTTTATGCACCGATCCAACAAATTGCAAGTTCCGACATGATATCAATACGATCAACAGTTGTCGCAATGTCAAAACGATAAACTATTGTTATTCGTACACCTTTTTGCACGCTACTAGTCCAAGTGTCCGCAAAATTCCTGTTTGAAGCACAATAGAAACCGGGAATTCAGAATTGTAAAACACTTTTGGTACCATAAGAAGACGGTTTTATTCCGGATTTTACGACCGCGACAAGGTACTCTTAACAGTTTCGTAAAATCAGCAGAGCCACTTTAAGCTTGTTTTTTTTAAATTCGAACTTGGCCACTGTCAGAATCACAACCACTAGACCATTGGGATAAAAGGGCTTGTTAAGTAGCGGGTCAGAGTGCGCCCATAACCCCCCAAGCGAACGCGCCTGTAACCCCCCTAGGATCAATCGGGCATCCACAGTGCAGATCTACTGATACCCCCCCACACTGGGAGGCCCAGGACTGAGCACAGCGGCAACGGCCTACATGTGCATACACCGGGAATCGAACCCGAGACCTTTTTGACACCATGTCAGAATCCCAGTCACTAGACCATTGGGATAGAAGGGCTTGTTTCAGTAGCGGGTCAGTGCGCCCATAACCCCCCAGGCTAACATGCCTGTAACCCCCCAAGGATCAATCGGGGATCTCACAGTGCAGCTCTACTGACACCCCCCCACACTGGGAGGCCCAGGACTGAGCACAGCGGCAACGGCCTGCATGTGCATACACCGGGATTCGAACCCGAGACCGCTCTGATACCATGTCAGAATCCCAACCACTAGACCATTGGGATAAAAGGGCTTGTTAAGTAGCGGGTCAGTGCGCCCATAACCCCCCAGGCAAACGCGCCTGTAACCCCCCCTAGGATCGATCGGGGATCTCACAGTGTAGCTCTACTGACACCCCCCCACACTGGGAGGCCCAGGACTGAGCACAGTGGCAATGGCCAACATGTGCATACACCGGGATTCGAACCCGAGACCGCTCTGATACCATGTCAGAATCCCAACCACTAGACCATTGGGATAAGAGGGCTTGTTTCAGTAGCGGGTCAGTGCGCCCATAACCCCCCAGGCTAACATGCCTGTAACCCCCCAAGGATCAATCGGGCATCCACAGTGCAGATCTACTGATAGCCACGACCCCTGCTGTAGTACAATATAAAGAATCCGGTGTATTAACAATCTTCCGATTTTGTGTGAGAGTAGTATGAAGGTGTGTGAGGATTAGGGCAAGGAGGGGGATACAAACAAGTGTCGAGCAAAGTTCTGTACCCCCTAAGGCTAAACCCACTACAGCCTAGATGACATTAAACATATAATTTGACACACCCCCATAGGCGAAGTGGGGGATAGCCAACACAAGAAACGGTCACAAGACCAGTCAAGAGAAGAAACAAAGCAAAACAAGCTCAGGGTGGATCACAACGTCACCACGCATTCTGAGCACAAGCACAAGGCCACAAGGCCAGTTCACAAGCAGAGTTATATATCAAGGTGAACAAGCAAGGCAGTGATCTCAACCTAGCAAGGGTAAGCATGCAGGTGCAGGTATATATAGATCACAGTACAAGCAAAGTCAAGAAGTGAGCAAGTGAGGCCAAGTAGGCACAAGACCTAGCATAGTACAAAAGCGCTGATGATCACAAGGCTGAAGTGCCTTGGTGAAGATATCAGCGGTGTTGGCCCGAAAGGCCACGTAAGCAAGGCGCAGCTGACCACGCTGCTGCAGCTCACGAGCAAGGAAGTAGCGAAGAGCAGTGTGCTTCGTTCTGTGCTCCAGTCTGTGCTCTCGACACAAGGCCAGCATGGCCTTGTTGTCTACGTACAGAACTGGAGGAGAACGAGGCGGCTCTCCCAGGTCGGTCAGCAGGTAGGTGAGCCAGCGTAACTCCTGTGCAGCCATGGCCCCTGGGTAGATCTCAGCCTCACAGCTGGAGCTGAGAACAGAAGACGAGCGGGTAGACCGCCAAGAAACAGAGCCGGAACCAAGGCTGAAGGTGTAACCCTGTGACGACCGCTGCGTAGCCAAGACGTCAACCCAAGACGCGTCTGCGTGACCAGTGAGTACCACTGAACTCCGCCCTCCAAGCACGAGCCCCATGCCCGACGTACTGCACAAGTAGCGCAACACCCTCTTAGCTGCATCCATGTGCTCTGGTCGGTGTCTCCCAGGAGCAACATAGCGTGCCAGGATGCTAAGAGGGTATGCCAGGTCAGGTCTAGTGCAGGTCATCAGGTACATGAGGCAGCCGACAAGCTCTGGGTACGGGCCACTCGGCTCTACGGACTCATCCGAAGGCAGAGCTGAGAGCGAGTGGCGAGTAGACAGAGGAGTGGCCTGAGGCGAGGAGTACGTGAAGTTGAAGCGCTGAAGGACCTGCTGCACCATGTGTGACTGAGTCAAGGTAATGGTGCGCCGTGCTCTGTCCCGGGTGATCTGCAAACCAAGATAGCTGCGCAGCTCACCCAGGTCTGTGCACGTGTGTCTCTTCTGCAGCTCCGACTTCACGTGAGCGAGTCCAGCAGTGTCAGCAGTAGCAAAGACCAAGTCGTCGACGTACACGAGGATGTAGAACGGCGGCAGCGAGGTGTCGGTGCGTAGAAACAGCGACGGGTCAGCAGTAGAAGGAGCAAGCCCAAGAGCCGCAAGCGTAGTCCTCAGTGTGTCGTGCCACTCGCGGGGAGCCTGGCGGAGACCGTAGACTGGCCGCCGGAGGCTCCACTGGGTACCAGGAGGAAACGACCCAGTGAAGCCAGGAGGTCGGCGCAGCCAGCGCTCTCAGCATGGCGAAACTCGCCAGCGCTCTCTGATTGGGAGCGAACTTTGTTGCAAATTATGTGATCATATGCATGGTCGTGAGTCATACCACAGTGTCCGAAGTGGGGCAGCACCCCACCTCGGACACCATCCTTCCCAAATTGTGAACTTGGTGGGAAAACTTGATGGCGGGCAAACGTGGGAACGCTATCTGAGAGAGCTGTTTGCGGAAATCCCAAGGGCAGTGGTTGGGTGCTGCTGCGATGTGAGTGATCTGGTTTGCAGCTCGCCACCTAGCCGGTTACCATCATATTCATTCGCATCTTGACTGGTGAGTTACCAAAAGTGTCTAACGATATTCGGTTTGAGGGCCAATGGTACTCGGTAACATCGTTCGTTGTTGATGCTGCGAACGTCGTCACCCTCGTTGCTTTTCGAGTCTGTTCGTTAATACATAAGGTCTTCATTCATCGTATCGATTGTTATTTTAGACGTTCGAATGTTCCAATAGCGATGTTATTATACACTCCACTTATGCATGTGTTTGCAGCCTGCATCCTTTCCTCGTTGGCTGATTCTTCATGCCAACGCATGCTTGGTTGACGACGCACGTGACGATTGTCGTGGACAGGGGAGATCACACGTGCATGCAGCCACTAAAACAGGGAGTACAGCATTTGCAAGCATGGAAACAGGTCAATCCACTCTAGATAACGTGGACCTGACGCAGCATTTGTGCCGCGACCGCACCGACTGTGGGAAATTTCCATGGTCAGCGTGCCTGGTTGGCGGAAGAAATTGCCGTTATATACGCGGAGCCTTCATTCCGCGAATTCCCCTGAGACGTACAGTTGTCGCACTACT